GAAGTCTCTTCTATTTTTTAATAACAAATTCACCAGGTCATCCAAACTTTCCAATTTAAACAGTTTTAAACAAGCCACTATGTCAACAGGAAATTATGAAAAAGAGGAGTAGGCAACAAATTTGGACTTCAAATCCCACTATATCTAATAGCAGACATGTAGAGGGCACATAATGCTCACTTTTGGACTAAAGATTTTATCACAACCAGACCATATTAGCACAGTAGAACCTGATATAGAATTCCCCAGTTTCCACATAGTGTTGGTATATTTAAGTTTTTGTTTCAATCCCTCTCATTTTGTTTGGCAGAACTTAAAAGGGCTGATTCATGCTTAAATAAATAACATTTTATTGATAATTCATGTTGAACTGTATCTTTCATGCTTTAGGAAAACATGCTCAAACATGCCCTTAGAAATAAATCAGAAACATCTTTTGTTTTTGCTGCCCTCTACTGACTTAGCTATATTAAAATCCAAATTGGTGTTTTTGTGCTTGGGAATTCAACTGTAGCAACCTTAGGTTTTCACATACTTTGCTGAAACTGAACTATGGAAGAAGCAGAGAAATTTCCATAATGGGTGAGAGAGGAAGAATAAAAGATAGATAAAAATAAAAGGTAGAATAAAAGAGCCAGTATGGTGTAGAGGTTAAAATGCTGGTCTAGAAATCTGGAGACTGTGAGTTCTAGTCTTGCTTTGGGCATGGAAGCTGGCAGAATTATTGTTGTGGGGCAAATAGGAGGAAAGAATATTATATTAATTAAATTCCTTGTGTGTCTAATCACATTTGGCCAAATATTCTATTCTATTCTATTCTATTTATTCTATTCTATTCTATTCTATTCTATTCTATTCCATATAAAACATAATAAAGGTGAGATACAAAATATAATAAATAAAAATAAAATTATGCAAATTCACAGGTCTCCTTATATCCAAATAAAGTAAAGAGATGGGGGAATAGCAAGCTTGTATTAAGATATTCTTATTTTACCTGCTCACCAAAAAATGCTAGGGGTAATAAGATGTGGCAACCTGGCATTCTGTACTGTTAACCTTTCGTAAAAGCTTATTTTTGATTCTATATTTGTGTGTGTGTGTGTGTGTGTGTGTGTGTGCTTACCTGCAACACCTACTTGATGAGTGGCATAAACTGGTAGTCTGCTATGTCCTTCTGCTAACCAGAGAGCCAGTGTAGCCGAGTCTGATTCTGCATGGTGAAAAGTAAAGCCTTGCTCTGCGGCAGCAGCTATAAATCTGCTTTGCAGTATAGGTACATGTAGCCATGCTGCTATGTGGCCTTCTGCTCGCCATTGCTTGATAGCACCTAAAGAAAGAAAATATCGCAAAAAGTATTGATAATGTCTGTGCTAAACATTTTAATCAGTGGTTGACTGTCTGCCTTTCATTTCTCTTATATTGTTTAACAATTGGGGGGGGGGATTAGTCCAAATTTCCTCAGACTGAGATATAACGAGGTGCAACTCCTAAGACAGAATTTGAAAACTCTCAGAATTTCAGTTCTACTCCAGATATGATTTTTTTGCTTTTTACGACCCTTTTAATCTCTTTGTTTTGGGGTGGAGTTGGGCTGACTGAGTAAAGCTCAGCGTTTAATGGTTGGATGCCCTTCCTGATGCCTACACGGAGTTCACAGCAGATATTTTCTCTTTGTGCCCTGAGTCCTGTTGGGAGAAGGGCGGCATATAAGTTTAATAAAATAAATAAATAAAATAAATAAATACAGAATCATCTGCTGCTGCCTAGGATCGAACTCTCAACTGTCTGAGTGGGAAGCGAGCATCTTCACCTCGAGGCTACCAGCCGCTCATTTGAGTTCTAATCTAAATACCAGATAGAAAACAGCTAATTATGCAGATGCAGTTTGATCTGAAATCTGTTTTTAAATGATTTAAATAACATTTCATGTATTTCATTATAAAATGTCTTAAATTTTAGTTATATTATCAGTGGAAATTTATGGAAAGAGGGTGTACCTACCTTAAAGACACAGATATGACAGAGGCACCCAGGGCTCTTTGGAGATCATATCCCAGGGATATTGTTGCAGCCAGAAAAGCTCAGCAGGCATGAAATTAGGTGTTTGAAAGTAGAATGGAAGCAGCTTGCACAAGAGACATAAACACATGAGTAAAAAGCTGAGGATCTTGCAATCTGGGTAACTCCAGAATAGGCTTGTGAACACAACAGCAAGTGCTGGAAGCAACCAGCCCAAAGAGCTCCAGCACTCTAGAGCTTGGTGCAACCAGTCTAGGTGAAAACAAGGTGGGGCTAAAGCCATATTATTTAAATTTGGTCTTATATGCAACAGGATTTCAACTGCTTTGCCAAGTTGATTTGGTTAGCTGCTTCTCTCATAGCCATCAAACACCTAATTGGTGGCAACTGGCCCCCATGTGTTAGCTTCATCATGTTAATGCAGGGGGTCTTCAAACTTGGCCCTTTTATGACTTGTGGACTTCAACTCCCAGAATTCCTCAGCCAGGAATTATGGGAGTTGAAATCCACAAGTCCTAAAAGGACTGAGTTTGAGGACCCCTGTGTTAATGCATCCCTTTATTGCCTGCCTTTAGGGTACACTGCTTCCTCCCTCCAGGTCTTGTTATGTAACTGTAGTATTGTGCAGTATTTTAGATTCAAAAGCAATATAGGGATGATCCTGTAGCACTTGACTGAGGTGTTGAAGCAGCTATTTTCATACTGGGATTGTGTAAGTGTCTTCTGCAGCTGCATTTTGATGCTGGGAAAAAATGTTTTGGTTTAAAGCAGACATATCAAACTCATGAAGTCACGTGATGTTGCGCAACTTATCCAGACAGTTTTGCCATTGCTGGCAATGGGGTGTGACACATCTGGCCAGTGGACCAGCAGTTTGACACCCCTGGTTTAAGGTGTTGCAGATAGCTGCTACATAAACACTCTTTGCACTTCAAAGTATCTTTTAGTTTTCAGCCTGAAGTGCTACTTAGCCCTAATGTTATTTCAGTGCAATTTTATTTTTCATTTCTTTCATGTATTGTATAAAATAGTGCAACCTAGGAAATTAATTTTTGAGGTTAGCAAACATACTTTACATCTTTTTTATGAACACATTTTAAAAATGTGAGAACAGCACTAGCTAAAAAAATTAACAGAATAGCAATTCTTTAAGGATTCTTCACTCATATTCAGTCTCATTTTTAATTATATTAACAAAGTAGAGTAATTAATAATTAATAATTTCCCATACCCCTGTAACATGGGAAACCCTAGTGGTGCAGGGGGATGCAAATGTGCTAAATGAAATAAATGCATATTTTAATAAAAAATATTGAATATGGATGTTTAACATTGGAGATTTCTCAACATTATTAATACCGTTAGGGGGTACTTCGAAACTAGGCCCTTAAAAAATTGCTATTTTGCAGTTTTGGTTTGAAAAAAAAGGCTAATTCAACAAAACTATTCCAAGTATAAGAAAAATGCTCTTCAGAACTGGAGGAATGATTTGTGACTTCATTCCTCTAATACTGTTAGAACTGCTCTCAGCCTGTAATGCTCTACCATTTATCTAGGGCTAAAATCCACTAAAATTAAAGTAATTTACTGGATAAAAGTGCTTATGGATGAGAAAGAACCTTTATGAATTTTTATTCATAACTATTAATAACTACCTGATTATTATGGTATTCAGAGCAACCGCAATTTTGGTTTAATTGCATATTAAAACCTCAATTCCCTGTATTACAGCTTTTCACTACGGTAGCATGATGTGCCTAGTATGTAATACAACAATTCTATTTTGTTACTAACAATTACATCACTCCTTCAGTTCCTTTCTAATTGGCAAACATCACACTTCTCAGTCTCAGTTGTGGACATGTGGACATGTGGGTGTAGATATAGTAGTTGAGTGATAAGGAAAAAAACACCTTTTACTTATAACGATCACGCATCACTTGGTAGACGAAATAGAAATATTAAACCTAATCGGTTCAATGGAGTATATCTGCTAGTTTGGGTTGAGAAGTAGTGCTCCCTTTTCCAGGGAAAGAGCAGCACTTGGCCACAAGCTCATTCACACGTTTTGTTCCCAAAATTGTTTTCGAGGCAGTTTTATCAGGGAAATTTGGGGAGGGGGAAGGGAGAGGCATTCTGCACGTATTCAAATACGCTGGTTCTTTTTTTTTGTGTGTGTGTTTTTTAAATCTATCCCACCGTGGAAGCTGTGGAGCCCTTAGAAAAGATGCGAGCGGAGAGACCGCACGGGGCCACTCGCCTTTGGTCCGAATGTGATCTGTCCTCTGTTTCCCCACAAGCTTCCAGCAAAAGGCACTTGCCCTGTAGCCAGCGCCCGAAGGCTGCTTGGTCCAGGCTGTCAGGAGAGCGCAGCTGAGCCAGGTTTAAGCTCACTCCGCCGAATTTATCCCGTCGCGGCTTCAACCCTGTTTCGGCCACGCAGAGGCGTCGGTGACCGCTCACACCGCTCCGCAGTTCGGGCTCTTGCAGGGGCCGCCAGCGCGAAGAGAGAAAACGCCGGCTGCGCGCGGACCAAACAGCCCAGCCAGCCATGGCGGCTGCGTTGCTGCTGCAAAGGAACGCGAAGAGAAAGGAGGTAGAGTTACTCACAGGCCGGATTTCCGTGCGAGCTGTTCCAGTTGGAAAACTTGGCTCAGTCAAAGCTTTTCTTACAGTTCCAAATTTCTTTCCATTCTCTACCGTGGAAAAGGCTGTCATATACTCTGTACATAAGGTGGACGGCCATATAAATTTACTAAATGCATTTCATAATAAAATTAATGATATTAGAGTCCGGTGTTGAGTTCCTGATTCCTGGAATCTGCGTCAGATTTAGGTTCCATAATTTTTCAGTCTTTAGGAATTCTGGGAGTTGAAGTCCAACACTTCTAGACAGTGCCAGACTAATAATGCTATTTGTTATGGCACTAGATTTGGTCTTACGCTATATTTTTCTCTTCCTTCATACATTCTATTTACTATTCTATTTATTTATATATTATTTATGATGGGAATATGACAGAAGTAAACATATATACACAGTCCATAGCAGTGGCCTCATAACTGGATGTCCAATTCAGCTATCCAAGCAATTACCTCTGGCGTTGTTTCATGTGTATCTAAGGAACCAGAGAATACACACTGGGCAATCTTGCACAGTACGTTTAATAGTTTGCATATCAGCACCATACTCGCCACAAGGGGAATTTTTCCATCCCCACTGATGCAGGCACTTCTAGTATCACACCTAATTCTGTTCAATTTCTAACCAGACAGTGAGGCAGATCAAAACCAGGTGACTTGGTAGAGGGATCCTAAGGGTGAGGCCACAAGAAAGTATTTTAGAGCAAACATCCTTGGGGTTAAACTGGGTAGATGTTAAGTGAATAGTTGTTTTCCAAGCTGGCCTATGGGATTTGAATCTTGTGATGGCCTGAGCATTGTCCTGGTGAATAGGAAGCCTTGTTCAGCATCTAGATCTTAGCTGAATGACAGCTTGTCATGTTCTAATGTGGGGCGGTATGGGATTGCTATATGTGGCTCAAAGTTAAACTGTGGACTCCTTGCTGCTCTGAGCTGGTTGTTTCTTTGCAGATGTTTCATTACCTGACAGGGTAATATCATCAGCATGATTAGATAATGAAACGTCTGCAAACAACCAGTGCAGCTCAGAGAGTACCTCCACACACGATGACAATTTTGCATTATATGCCTGTTTTATAAAATTCTAATAAGCAATATAATAGCAATGAGCAGACAGAAAAAGAGAACCTAATCTAGAACAAATGCCTCAGAACGCTAATGAAATTAATCAGAACTGAGTTCTGGGAAATATTTAGGTTAAATTAATTTTGAGTAAATATTTCAGATTGAGGCTGTGATTTAACATCCGCTAATCTGAAATTCGTTTCAGATTGAGCGCACGGTATACGATTATACTCCAAAACTTAATCTAATACTAATAGGGTTAACTAGAAACAAATTCCACAAAGAACAGTGCAGCTAATCATATAATTTAATACGCGGGGTTAAGATTTTATCACCTGCAATTAATCTTATTTAAAGTTATAATTTCTGCCCGAGATAGTTGAATAAACAATTTAATCAGGAAGTGACGAAACGAATAGCATTGCAATCATATCCACGTTGGGGAAAATAAAGCGAAGTTTCTCAAAGAGCTGCATTTCGGAAAGACTTCCGGCATTACATTGAACATAGCCGCAACTGTGGGTTATCCATAGAGATACATTAGCAGAACAACATCCGCTCCCGGCTACTGAGCATCCCTAGACTCTAAAAATTGAGAGTGATACTCGGTGTAACTCCTGAAAATAAAAGAAAAAGTCATTAGTATTCGAATTTCTTTTAGATTGTAATCAGGAACATTTGGCTTTTTAAAAACGCCTCGAGGAGATAGAGCGGCTTTTGGTAGCGCTTGAAACCTAGTTTCTCAGTACTTTAATAATTGTGGATCATTCTGCATAGTCGGTCTTGAATCGATGTTCTCTAACTCGTTAATATCTCTTCGAGCGAATTTTGTCTTCCGGGGAAGAAGCCGCTCTCGTGGTCCAAATGCGATTAAAGCGGCGCTGCCTCGGCTTGCTAGTTTCGCTGAATTATTGCAATGTCCTCTTTCAGCAAGAGGAAAAGCAAAAAACGGCCTCCTTCGGAAAAGGACTCGACTCTTGACGACCGAGACGCAACCCAAGAACACCTCGGGTGGCAGAGTTTGTCGGCTGCAGACTTTTTGGACAAGGGTAGGATGCTGGTAACGTGCGCGAGTTCGCGGGGATCGTTCATGCTCTCAACAAGCCTGTAAGGTAGGCTAGGTTGGGAAAGCATCGAGGAATACAGGCAGCGTAGGACAGTCATTCGGATTATTGCGACAGAAGCATGTGACTCCCGCAAGATTCTTGTAGCAGTTATAGCATCACTCCATAAGATAATAGCTGTTATCTTAAGAGATATCTGCGATATACGGAAATATACGGAGCGGTTCATTCCCTGAACGGGTTGAGTTGGCACTCAAAATTCTGGGAACCCCCGTCCAAATCAAATACCCGACTATTAAGCCACAGAGACTCCCAGATGCTGTTTGCATGTCTGTGATCATCCTTTTTTCTTTTTCTTTTGCAATGTTTAAAATGTCAGTGATCATCCTTTTTTTTTTTTTTTGCAATGTTTAATATAAAGCTGTTATTCTTTTTTAATTTCTGTGTTGAACGTTGCAGGTAGCTGGGACTGCATTAGATGGAAGACAAATTTAATTTTTGTAGTACAAATTTAGGACAAATGTAGATCTCATCCTCACTTTCTGTTGGAAAAGCCAAAGATATCAGAATGTTATATTCAACTCATCATCAGTTCAGTTCAGTTCAGTTCAGGAGTACAGTAGCTTAAAGTTGTAATTAGATGCTCCAGTTTTAAATAGCTTATCATTTTTCCAAAACAGTTCATGCCATGAGAATTTTCTGTGATTTCTCAGTTATGGAATGTCACAGTTAGGGGTTGGGATATGCCAAATTCCTTTTTGCTTATTTAGGTTGTTTCAAGCATCTTCCATGCCTTTCCTTCCAGTTGTTGGGTACTATTACGTGTGGCGATTTTGACTTGAACTGCTTTGGGACAAGGCCCCTGGCTCCAACATAATATACCTGCCTGCATAATGTCTAACATATAGTGATCTTTTGGAAGATACCAGTTATGTCCTTAAAAGAAGGAAAAAAGAGTTGGATTCTACAACAGTGTGCTCTTGTTGCCCAATGAATACATTATAGGTAATGCTCCTAGCTCAGTGATGGCGAATCTTTTAGAGACCGAGTGCCCAAACTGCAACCCAAAATCCACTTATGCATCGTCGGGTGCCGGGTGTTTGTGGCCCATTGGCTTGGTGTGGCCAATTGGGGTGTGTGTGGCCCATTGGGTGGGCATGGCTGCGGTGGTAACGGCAGACTGGGTGGGACTAAAAAGTTCAAATCAATCAATTCCAACTTTGCAAGGTCTTTTTTTCCCGTGATAAGTTGAAATCGACTGATTGATTGAACCTTTTTTTTTTTTTGCACACGGCAGCGGAGGCCTAAAGCGAAAAGGTTTTATAAAACCTAGTTGAAAGCCTAGGACTGGGGTGACAGCGCGTGTGCCCACAGAGAGGGCTCTGAGTGCCGCCTCTGGCACCTGTGCCATAGGTTCGCCACCACTGTCCTAGCTCAAATAAATTCATATAGTTACGACCATTCATTTAACGCTCATTCAAAGTTACGTTATGAGCGCCCCCTAGTGCTTACAAGCAACTCCTGAAATTACGAGTATTGCAGCACCACAGCAGTCGTTCATCCTTACAAGTGACTGCTGTGCAACACTCACCTGGGGGTTATTCCCTCCCTCCCCGCCCCCGCCACGGGTCTCCCTAGGCACCAGGCCTTCAGTACTCACCCTGCGGAGATGGAGAATCTTCGCTTTCTTGGCTACTCCAGGCCTTCGGTTTGTTTGCAGAGAATGGAGGCCTAAAATAACGCAAGATGACACGAGATCAGTGGAGTGAGATCTCACACTACTGATCTTGCGGGATCTCATGGTTCTTTAGGCCTCTATTCTCTGCAACAGAGAACCAAACCGAAGCTGGGGGATGCTTCGGCATGCCTTCAGAAGCTGGATCGGGGCTCCGGGGCCTGGAAAAGGCTTCTGCCACTCGGATCACCTGCTTGGCACCTCCTCCTCCGCCTGTCGCTTGGGTCCTGCAGGGCTGCGTCGTGCTGCCTGCTGCCCGTTCGCCACCTGTATTTTATGGTTTCAATGGCAGCTTTGGAGGTTGGTGGTAGGCTCTCTGCATCGTCCCTGGGCTGGCAGTTTCGCCACCAGTCACCTTCGTGTCTCTGCCCACACAGCTACAAAAGAGTTATACCAGGGCTGGCAGTGGGGGTGCTCCAAAGACCGTGCCACCCTAACTCCAGTCACCAACTCTCCCGTGGTTGTGTGAACAGAGCCATGAAGGTGGCCAGTGGCCAAAACTGCCAGCCCAGGGACAATGCAGAGAGCCTACCACCAGCCTCCAAAGCTGCTGTCATTGAAAGTATAAAATACAGGTAGCGAACAGGCAGCAGGCAGTGCGACACAGTGCTGCAGGAGCCAAACAGGCAGAGGAGGTGGTGGCGGGGCCCAAAGAAAGCCCCTCCAGTGGCTGACACAGCTGATGTGCCGTCATTTCCCCCTGTTCTGAAATGGCAGAGGGGGATCAGGTAAAACGACCGAGCATCCCCCGCCCATCCTCCATAACATGGCAGTCCAGGTCGGGAGTGTTGTGAAAGGGAAGAGGTGGGCGGGCAGCTGGGTCATTGAATGGGCGGGGGGAGATCACTGAGTGGGGAGTGGCCTGACTGCAGGGGCCCTGAGGTAAGCGGGTGCAGGACAGCTCCACCCCCTCACCTGCCTCGCTTCACCTCGTGGTGGCACCGGTGCGACAGGTGCTCTCCTGCCCCATTACATATATATGACCCAGTCTTATTTTCGGGGAAACACGGATATTGCCTATCATATTCTGTTCTTATATTGACTTTAAAGAAAAAATGTGGACTTTGTTCTTCAAGATTTTAGATCAACCAAATGATAATTACATGTATAATTGTGTTTTTCTCTTTAATTTTAGAAGATGACAAAGTCCCCAAAATATATAGAGGAACTTTTGTGCAATTGGCGCTCAACAACATGAAGCTGGCAAATATTTCTATAGGGCGTCCAGTGCTGCTTACAAGTACAAATGGGAAGCAAGAGGTGGTGTTTGTTTTCTTATCAATTCTATGTGTATTTATGCATACATGTATTTGTTTATGTAATGGTGTATTTTATTTTATTTTTCTTGAAAGGGATAACACTGGATAGATTGTTTTTAAATTATATTTTCTATTGTTTTGGTTAGGTTTGCACAGCATGGCCTGTTGCAGGCTTCCCTGGTAAAAAAATTGGCTTAAATGCAATTACACAGAAGAATCTAAAAGTGGTACCTGGTGATACGGTCTTTGTCCAGCCTGTGACTGGTGCTGTAATTCAGGCAGAGGAAGTGGAAGTAAAGCTAGGGTATGTTGATATCCATGCATTTTACATTATTACCTATGGTCAGATTTCCAATTTATTGTGACTTTTGGTGAATGTTGTGATGAAGAAGTTTCATGTGATCATAATGAAATTTATTTTAAAGACCTAAGTTTTCCTTATATTTAAAACTGTGGCATTGCATGCCAGGACATTTGCCCTGCTTCAGATCTCAGTTCTGAAAGAGAAGTTTAGAGCATGTGGAAGGCACAACTGTAGCACTTTAAAGCAACTTTGTCTTTTCTTGAGAGCCCATGGCAGATATGAAGAGCAGATATATTTGTGTTATGCACCTTCTCTCTTACTCTATAGAATATCTTTGTAACTCAAATCTGAATTGCTAAATAAAGTACATTATATGTAGTGTAATTCTGTAAAGTGTAACTCCTTTCAGAAAGCTTAGATTATAGACACTTTGCTCTTAAAGCTGCTGTAAGGAATTGGAATGCTTCTTGTTTTTTTATCAAATGTATTTGCCATCTATCTCACAGTTCAGATGACTCTGAATGGAATTCTCATTTGGAGGCATGGGTTGGATTAACTGTAATTAACTAACTTGGTACACAAGCAGTCTTGCTATGTAGAGAACTATGGTATGTGGGTTCAAGGATTGATGGTATGAAAGTGTTCTTGTGTGTTTAATATCAAGTAAAAATATCAGTGGCTATAAACCATATGAAACAAGGACCAAACTTTAAAAGGAAGGCTGCAATCTGTAAAATACAGTAGTTTGGGTAATTCTAGGGTTGTAAGTAACAAGATAAAAAGAAAGAAATTTAATTAATGAGATGTCCATTTAAAATCTCTTGGGGTTTGTGCATTCTGGATTTGAAGGAGACGAATTTCAAAGTCTCATATCTGACGGATCTTCTGCTAGATTAACATTGCTATTTGACTGTTGAAGAATGATATTCTTTTCTCCATTTGCTTCCTGGATGTTTTTTTTTTTAAATTTCTCTCATTGTGTAAATTCCCTAGATTTTTTTCTCTTGTATCTTTGGTTTCCATCTTTAGAATCTCCCCAGATAATGCTTCCAAAATTCTCTTGAGAAATTTCTAACCTGTAATGGCTTATCCCAAGATGGCAACATTATATAAAACTAATCTGGTGCAGCAGAGGCTGTCTTGGAAAGAAAATAACCAGAAATATTAAGTGAAACTACTGGTCTTCTTGAGATGTCAGGGAAAGAAGAAGCATCAATATAAGAATATTGACAAAGTTTATATTGCTGATTTTAGATTGGCTTGACATTTAGCCAGAATTACTATAGTAGGGAGGTAGGTTGATTAGATAGATTAGATAGATAGATAGATAGATAGATAGATAGATAGATAGATAGATAGATAGATAGATAGATAGATAGATAACTACATTTAGTGCACTCCCTACTGATGTTAGCTTAGTAATTTCTGTTATACAAAAGATTTTTTAGGGCTTGGATTTAAGAATCTATGCATTAAATTGCAGAGACTGCAGTAGTTTCTATGAGTCCACGTGGTGATGCTAAGAACCAATATAACAAATTTATGGATGAGAATTGCTGTATGAAGTTGCTTTTGCAGGAGTTTAATTTAGTTCTTACATTGGAGTACATTTGGTGTTCTTGAAATAATGATATTTATTAAATTTTAAGAAGGATTATTTAATTTATTTTTTTCATAGGGTTAAAGATGACTGTATCAGTACTGAAGACTTGTCCATTAGCCTCTTAAGAAACTTAGGTATGGGTTTAGTTTATGTTTTCTGGTTTATATTATAGTTTTAGATATTAAATACGGTACATATAAACTTCTGTCTGTCTGTAGTCAAACGTTTTGGGTTTCTGAATTTTACAGAGATCCAATACACTCACTCTGGATTAAGAGTATCAAGAATAGGGAAAAATACTGCATTTGAAACTTTATAACTATCCAATCTGAAGAGGCTGCCTTTTAAAGTGCATAGAATATTCTCTTAAGAAGAAAAGTGCTGTTCCAAAATAGGTGGTTCTGACCTCAAAACAGACTTATAGGTGTGCTTTGTTAAAACTAACCTTTGTGAGCTTTTCTGTTGGATTTCTATGCCATGTAGTCTAATTTTCTGTGTATCTTAATTTATCAAAGTAAATTACCGGTAATTTTGGATGCCAAAAGCAAGTATAAGAGAAGGATATGATGTCCCTATTTTGATTTCATTTCTTGCTTCAGGGGGCTTTTAAAGGACTAACAATTATTTTATTGTTAAAACTTACCAAGGCTATAGAACTGATAGTTAAATCACCAAGATCATTGCTTTTGTTTTGAAAATTACAGGTAGTCCTCGACTTATGAACACAATAGAGCCCAAAATTTTGTTGCTAAGTAAAACATTTGTTAAATGAGTTTTGCCCCATTTTACGACCTTTCTTGCTACAGTTGTTAAGTGAATCACCGCAGTTGTTAAGTAATCCAGTTGCTAAGTGAATCTGCCTTCTCAATTGACTTTGCTTGTCAAGGTCACAAAAGGGGATCACGTGACCCTGCAACTGTCATAAATATGAACCAATTGCCAAGCATCTGAATTTTGATCACATGATCATGGGGATGCTGCAAAGGTCGTAACTGAAAAACAGTCATAAATCACATTTTTCAGTGCCGTCGTAACTTTGAACAGTCACTAAATGAACTGTTGTATTATATTTCTTGATGTATTGCTACTATTAGCATATACTTTTATGCAGGAATATTTTAAGCGGGGACTGTGTGAGAAATCTGATTGCTTTTCTTAATCTCTTTTTACAGATGGAAAGATAGTATTGCCAGGAAATTTCCTGCAAATTACTTTCTTTGGCCGATCTTGTGACTTAAAGGTTACAAAGGTGAAAGGAATGGATGGTGTGTTGCTGCAAATGCAAGATGTTTTAAAAACACCACAGGAACGATCACTGGAGAATTTGGATAGCCATCATTTCAATTTATCTATTGAGCTTGGAAAACTAGTAATAACAGACAGTGAAGTATCTACCAGTACTCCATGTAAGCATGAGGATCATAACATATCCATGAATGCTTCTTTAAATAGTGTGGAGCATGAAACATTGAGTCCTGATCCAGCAGAGATACTTGATGGTGATGGGTCTAGCCTTCATTCTGAATCAATCATATCACAAGACTGTGAGAAAGGTTTTGCAGGTGAAGAATTACCTTTGGCTGATAAAACAGGATTGTCACAGAATTCGGAAACATTTTACTTCATATCGTCAAGGACTAGGGTCAGTTTCATTCAACCACAAGCCAAAGTGACAGAAGAATACAATCTTGAACCAAAAGTTACTTACGATTCAATAGGCGGACTCAGTAACCAGCTGAAAACTATAAAAGAAATGATTGAACTTCCTTTGAAGCAGCCTGATCTATTTAGGAAATATGGTAGGAAATTTATGGTATAAAAGTATGCTATAATTTACTATTTTTCATTTGGTAACCCTGTCAAATAATGTAAGACACAGTTTAAATGTATTTGTTTTTCTTCAAATGGCAGATCTTATACTACTTTTAATATGTTGTTTTACCAGCCCAAGTACTAAACAATGATTTAATTATCTTTTTTCTGTCATGTTTTGCTTAACTATAGCTTGTTGAATAACCTGGAAGGAGTTAGTAGTCTGAATCAGTCTTTTACAACAGTTTTTCTGTGGTGCTATCCAAAATGCTTCTCTTAAAGTTTGGCAGCTTTCTTTAAAGATCCATTCAGGAAAGTGACTTGCATGGCTTTTAAAAGCTACTAAAATTTATAAAAATTTACACAAATCCTCTTTTCAATTATTTTAAGTTTAAAGAAATATATAGTAGAAGTTAAAATGGCTATAAGTAACAAAAATTGTGCTGTTGATGCTCAGTTCTGTAGAACTGCTATTTGGGATGCTTCTAAAAATAATTATGACATATTTCATATATAATACAGTATTTCATTATTAATTTAATGTTAATGCAGGAATTATTTTATTATCACAGTTATGAACTTTTAACTGTCCAAGTTTTACAATGTCCAAGAATTAACTACAGTTCTTTGTTGTTCATGTGTGACTCTGAAGGAATTCCATCTCCAAGAGGAGTGCTATTATATGGTCCTCCGGGTACAGGCAAGACCTTGCTAGCCAGAGCAATTGCAAATGAGATTGAAGCTAACTTCTGTACAGTTAATGGTCCAGAAATAATAAGCAAGTAAGTGCCCTTCATTGATTTATTTCAGCCTTGCTTTATCTAAATTTAAATTAGCAGTGTACTTACTGTTTTTAAAATACAGGGCTTCTTTGCTACCCAAATAGGATATAGCTACATCTGTAAATAGAAATGAAGAACCGATGATGTATTTATATCAAGATGTTGACACAATAATGTACCTATATAGGGAACTGTATGAGACCTTTGCCATTGAATCATATTTGATTTTCTTGTAGATTTTATGGAGAAAGTGAAGCCAGGCTACGACAGATATTTTCTGAAGCCTCTTTACGGTATGCTTCTATTCTTTCAGTGAAGTTACTTCAGATGGTTTAATTTAAGGAATAGGTAACTTTTTTGCTCTAATGGCATATTTAGAATTTTGTGAGCTCTCATAAAATAGTTGCAAGAGAGGCAGTTTCTCTATTTAAAAATGTCAGGTGTGCTCATAAAATGTTTATTATCTAGAAGGCAAACTACTAAGATTCTTCCCTACCAACTTTTCTATCTTCAGAACATTCTTTCTAGTACTTCAACTTAGCTTTGTCCTTCTTGGGCAGATGGAGTTTCTTCTAAAGAAAGCACTGACTTACATCCACCAACATTTCTAAAAAATGAACATGCAGCTTAGTCCAGAGGCATTCTTCTAAGTAAAAATGATGCCAAAGGCTGGAATTTGTTTTGCTGAATATCAGATTCCCATTTGCTATTTTTAGTTAGAATAATATTTTTGAAAATATTAAGTCATGTGGGTCAACTTGGCTGATGGACAGCAATTGTAGGCTGATTGGTGCTCATAAGGATCATATTGCTTACCTAGGAAGGTAGGTAGGTGGGTGGGTGGTTAGGTAGGTGGGTGGGTGGATGGATGGATATAAAAGCCCATACCCCAGGATAATTAGTAGAAATTTATAAATGTCAGTTTGCCAGACTGTTCTCATAGCCATTGTATCTTGGTTTGTATTTTCATTGGGGTTACATTTTGCTTTCATGTTTTGAGGAAGAATAATCTCTCTTTATTTCTATGATGGTTAAAGAATGTGTATTCCAAATTTTGGTCTATATTTAGTGTTGGAATATATACATTGTTTTAAGATACATTCTTATTCTCTTAACTCTACCATGAAATACTGCAATCAGTTGAATATTTGAATTATTCAGTGAGATTATTGAGTGTCATAGCAGGTGGCAACACCCAACAGTTTTGGTTGATCTTGAAAAAGTTAAGCAGAGTTGGGCCCGATCAGTAATTTGATGGGAGGCTACCACAAAGTAACAAGCCAGTAGATGACATTGAAAAAAATGCCCTAGAAGAAGGCAATAATGGTTTGAAAAGTAGGATATGCCCATACAGTCTCTAGACATTGAGTTTAATTTGAGGATGCCTTTACTTTTTCATTTTATATGCATATTTATTCTAGTGTGCATATTATAAGATATATGCTATTATTTCCCTTTTAATTTGTGTATTCCAAGAAACATGTTATTTCCCATTTTTGTTAAGGCGGCCATCCATTATATTTATTGATGAAATTGATGCACTCTGTCCAAAGAGAGAAGAAGCCCAGAACGAAGTTGAAAAAAGAATTGTAGCTTCATTGTTAACGCTGATGGATGGCATTGGATCAGTAAGTCTCTTTGTCTCTTTGCTCATCCCGTCTGTGACTCTGGAGCACAATTGGTAATGTATACTAGAAGTTATGCCCGAGAATGTTTTGGGACAAAATTTATTTTTCAATGATGATTCCAGATTATGAAATGGAAGCTTACATTGCATAGCAGTATAGATGTGCCTCATATGTTGTTCCGGCTATGGAAGGTGTTATGATTGAGCTACATTGCTTAGGTGGTAGAGTCCAGAAATAGTTCATGATGTGAAGACACCGCAGTGTTGAATGGCTGGAAATTGTGCCATAGTGAATGGTACATCTTATTAAAATCTTAAAGTTACTTAGATCCCCAGTTCAAACCAGAAGGTAGCCTTCCCTTTAAAGGAACTGAGGCCACCTTAAGTTGTTTTAAGCATCTGTATTTTGGATCTGAAGCCAAGGGCTGCTTTGGAAAGGGCATGTGTACACAGGCTACTCCTGTTGCCTTTTTTTTTTTTTAAAAAAAAGGTATGATCTGCTGGTAGCCATGAGATCCCAGAAAAATTTGTACGTGAGTTAAGTAAATCATGACACACTATTTGTACCAAAACATCTTGTCACACTGTGATGCCAGGTCTTTAGCTGAAAGATATATTTTCCTGGGATGTTGGATCTCATCGCACCTTCTTTGGAGCTTCATTTCTGATCCAAATTGCTGCATTACCCTGATTGTTTTAATCTGTGGCAAATATGAATCAGCTAGTAGAGAGTTTTTCAAGAATTATATAAAATATGTGTTAATAAATTCCCTGAGCCTTGTTTAACTAATATTTTTATAACTCTTTAGAAAGCAAGATCATTGTTTCAATAAGTTTAGTGTTACCTTGAAAAAGAACCAAATCTCTTTACATGTATACTGGACTGTGGACTTAATGAGAAGTTCTTGCTGATATTTTGTGAAATATCACGGCTGCTTTAAAAAGATACCTTAGCCTTATCTGTCTTTAACCTGATGCTTACTTTACAGTACTATTCATTTCTTCAACTTATAGTAAACCTGTTTTCAATAAAACTGTTTTGTTTTTAGGAAGATAATCAAGGGCAGCTCTTAGTTCTTGGAGCTACCAATCGCCCTCATGCACTAGATTCAGCCCTGCGCAGACCAGGACGTTTTGATAAAGAGATAGAAATTGGAGTTCCCAATTCTCAAGATCGACTAGACATCTTAAGGAAGGTTCTCAGTAAGACTCCTCACTCATTGACAGCATCAGATTTGACTCAACTGGCAGACAGTGCCCATGGGTACGTAGGAGCAGACCTAGCAGCCCTGTGCAAGGAAGCAGGTAAGCTAAGTGTGCTTCACACTGAACATCAGTGTAACTGAGATGACTTTAGTACAGTGGTTCTCAACCTTTTTAATGCCGTGACCCCCAACTGGTCGTAAGTCGAGGACAAAACCGGTCGTAAGTCGAGGACTAAACCGATCGTAAGTTGAGGACTAAACCTGTCGTAAGTCGAGGACTACCCAACCGGTCGTAAGTCGAGGACTTTCCCTGCCCGGGAGCGCCGCGCATGCGTGGTTCCGCCCCCTGTGCCGGCCAAGGCGTAGCTGGCAAGCGGCAGAGACGGAGCAGGCCGACCACCAGCTGGCCCAGCCCAAGGGAGATAAGGCACCCGCCGGAAAAGGGGAAAAAAATGGCGGACAAAAAAAATGGCGGATAGCCTTGCTTGGCGACCCCCGTGAAATGGTCGATCGGCCCCAAATGGGGTCGCGACCTATAGGTTGAGAACCGCTGCTTTAGTATTTAGATATCATTATTCACTTATAACAAATCATTATCTGTGCATATTTACTAAGGCATGGTATCTATACTTTGGGTGGAAGATTATTTAAATATAATTAATTTTAAAAAATATAACCATTGGAATCCTTTTAACACTTGAATGAGAATTGATCTGTGCTGAGTGGAATGAATGCATCTTGTTTACATGACTTGTGTCTAATGTTCAACATTTTACTAACACCATGGCTCAATATAGCAGACTATAGAGAAAAATCTATGTGGAAAGGTTTATTTTGGGCAAAATTTGTTCACTAAAGACTATATATGAGATCAGATTAGCAGAGATTTTGTAACATAGATAGAACAGAACATTATGTCAAGCACAAGTCTGTGTTCATAATGTGAATATGCTCAGGACTTAGCTTGTTTTCTATTGTATATAAAGTGAGCAAAATAATGTTTAAAATGGAAATGCTTTAAATAATGTCATATAATAGCATATCTTCAAGTTGCTTTTTTAAAAATATACATCAAGGTCAGTTAAAATTTGGATATGAATTAAATAAATTGCTCAATACTTTCTTTAGCTACAGTGAACTGACCTCTAGAGGTAGGAAATAACATTTCATGCAGATATGTTTTTAAACTGTTTTTCATGTAAAAGGAATCTCGGAAAACCCTACATCAGAGTTAATAGTTTTATAAAGTAGGAAAATTGGGATATTATAAGATTTGAAAACACATGGATAAGTTATACAATTTCCTTTGTCATTGCAAAATAGTAAATCATTAGTAAAACTGACCCGAGGTAAAAATTTTAAGGATAGTTTTACGTAATGTATTCTAATATGCATCATACTCCAAGAAATAAAATCTGCACAACCTTACATATAATTGTGCCTCTTACCAATATATATAAGAAGTGGATTGCTTTAAATATTATTCCTGACTTTTTAAAATGGTAACCCTTCCTTTGCATCTATAACTGTATCTGTAACGTTTTAATAATATATATAGCCATGATATATAAATAGATATGTTCCACAGAATTGATGCTTCCAAGATGCTGCCTGTTAATTTTTCATTAATTGAAATTGTCTATATTTCTGCAATAATTCTGCATAACATATTTTATAATGAATTGTGTTTTGATGGTATTGAACCCTAATTATACAAAGTAATACTCTAAAGCCCATTGCATAGAAATTTGATTGAAAATGGAACTTGTAAATTACACCAAACATATACTTAAATAGTTGTGTCATTTTCCATGTCTCACTGTACTTAATTCATTGTCCAAATATACTTTTATATGATAAATTGAAAGACAAAAAGGACAAGTACAAACAATGGAAAAAGGGACACATAACTAAGGCAGAGTATCAGTAGATAGCCGGACTCTGCAAAGATGAAGTCAGGAAAGCAAAGGCTCAGAATGAACAAAGACTTGCAACAAAAGTCAAAGTTAATTAAAAAAAAGTTGCTTTCAACATGTAAATAACTAGAAAAAAGTCAAGGAAACAGTAGGTCCACTTAAGAGAGAAGATGACAAGGAAGTAACAGGCAGCAGAGACAAAGCAGAACTGCTTAAGTCATTCTTTGACTCAGTCTTCACACAAAAAGAAACCATAGCCCAACCTACCAAAAACATAACTGTAAAAGACAGTTCTGAAGGAGCTGGCAAATGTTATCTCAGAACCATTGTATTATATCTTTCAAAAATCCTGGAATTACTTGAGGAATTACCTGAGGATTGGAAAAGAGCTGATGTGGTCCCCATCTTCAAAAAAGAAAAAAAAAACAGACCCAGGAAACTACAGACCAATCAGCCTAACATCAATACCTGGGAAGATACTGGAAAAGATAATCAGAAGCAGATCTATGAACATCTAGAAACAAATAAAGTTATAACTAAAAGCCAGCATGGGTTTGTTAAAAATTGATCATGCCAAACCAATCTTATTTCATTCTTTGACAAAGTGACTAAATTAGTAAACTAGCGAAATGTTGTGGTCATAGTATACTTAGACTTCAGCAAGGCATTCGACAAAATAGACCACAATCTACTTCTTGGTAAGCTAGAAAAATGTGGATAGACAACATCACTACCAGATGGATTTATAACTGGCTGACAAACCAAACTCAATGAGTCATCCTTAATGGTACAGTACTACATCTACATGGAGGGAAGTAAGCAGTGGGGTAACGCAAGGTTCTGTCCTAGGCCCAGTACTCTTCAATATCTTCATAAATGACTTGGATTAGGGAATAGAAGGGGAACTCATCAAAGTTGCAGATGACATTAAGATGGCAGGAATAGCCAACACCCAGAAGGCAAGCTCAGGATCCAAAAAGATTTTGACAGACTTGAACAATGGGCCCTATCCAACAACATGAAATTTAATGTGGAAAAAAAACAAGAATTTACACTTAGACAGGAAAAACCAAAGGTACAAGTACAGATTAGGTGAAACCTGGCTCAAAAACAGTAACTGTGGGAGGTACCTTGGAGTCCTAGTGGATGATCACTTAAATATGAGCCAGCAGTGTGTGGCAGCAGCCAAAAAAGCTAATACAATCCTTGGTTGTATAAACAGAGGCATAGAATCAAAATTACATGAAATATTAGTACTGCTTTATAAAGCCTTAGTAAGGCCACACCTGGAATACTGCATCCAGTTTTGGTCCCCACATTACAAAAATATGTTGAGACTTTGGAAAAAGTGTAAAGAAGAGCAACTAAGATGATTAAAGGCCTGGAGACAAAAACATATGAAGAATGGTTGCAGGATTTGTGTTTGGCTAGTCTAGAGAAAAGAAGGACTGGGGGGGGGGGACATGATAACAGTATTCCAGTATTTGAGAGGTTGCCACAAAGAGGAGGGGGTCCACTTATTTTTCAAAGCACCAGAGGGCAGGACAAGAAACTGGATGGAAACTAATCAAGGAGACAAGCAACCTGGAATTAAGGAGAAATTTCCTGACTGTTAGAACAATTTACCAGTGGAACAGCTTGCCATCAGAAGCTGTGGGTGCTTCATCACTGGAGGTTCTTAAGAAGAGACTGGACAGTTACTTGTCTGAAATGGTATAGGGTCTCCTGCTTGAGTAAGCGGTTGGATTAGAAAACTTCGAAGGTCCCTTCAGCTCTATTCTGATTGATTGATTTCCTCATTTTAAAAGTATAAACAAGGAACAAATTGACTATGTCTAATCAGATGTTACTGCCTATTTATATGTTACTGCTATTAGGGATGGCATTCTCAGATAATAGTACTAATATTGGCATTAATGTATCAGAATACAAGGCAGCATTAAATTGAATGCAGTGTTTCTCTTGCCTTTTTACCTTACAACTGTCTATTGTAATTGTTACAAGATTTGGTCATTTCACAGGAAAACTTCTATAAAGTGTTTGGCTAAAGAAGATGAGCTTTCCTAGTGCTGAATAATAAACTGCCCACAGTACCTGCTGTTGCTCAAAAATGAAAACTTGCTTTCACTGAATAGTTTTAAGATGGCATCTATTCTTCTATTGTTTTCAAAAGCATTCTTATAAACATCTCATTATCTGTTTGTGTTAATTATGGAGAAGTTTCAAAGAAATCATGCTGGCTAGAACCAAATAATATACCTTAGCCTTTTTTTTCTTTTCTGTTTAATTATGTTCAATTCTTGGAAGCTTCCTGGACAGATCCCTGCAATTTTCTTGGCAAGTTTTTTTCAGAAGTGGTTTACCATTGCCTCCTTCCTAGAGTTGAGAGAAAGTGACTAGCCCAAGTCATCAAGTGGCTTTGTGTCTAAGGTGGAACAAGAACTCATGTCCTTCCAGTTTCTAGCCTGATGTCAACTATTACATCATTACTGGCTTTTTTAGCCTTAGCCTATTTCCGTTTCCTTTCCCCTGAATTTGACAAAAGGAAATCACAGTGGGGTCCGAGCATGGTATAGGTTAAAGGATTGGGCTAAAAGTGGAGAGTTCCAGATTCAAGTTAATTCTTATGGATTGACACTCAGGAGAAACTCTGGGCCAGTCAGTCCCTCTTAGTTGAACCTATCTCATAGGAACATTGTGGAGAAATACTGGTCCCTGAGGAAAATCAAGTGTGTATGCAAACTCAGGGTTTTTTTTCTCATAGAACGCCCAGAATGGAGTTCTGGCACCTTTTTTGGATGGAACCTTGTAGGGTAGGCAAGGCGGGTTGTATGACATGTGTGAGTTCCGGCACCTTTTTTTTTTTTTTTTTTTTTTAGAAAAAAAGCACTGCAAACTTATTCTTTAATGTCATGAAAATTAAAAGAAAGAATCCTGATCTTGGTTGTTCTAAAAGTAAAAACTGGATTCCACAATGACATTTCCCAGGAGAGATTTTGAACAATTAATATTCTCTGATTGCTTTGAAATTGGCTTTTCCATTTATCCTATATATTTTATGACTTCTTGTTGGCTGCTTAGAATATTTATAGGGAAACTTAGAAGCACTGGCACATAATCATTTCAACAATCCATTGATTGCCCATTCATTAATGAGCAAAGTTCTATAAAATATTATTAGTGC